AAGTTTCCTGCATAAAATTCGGACCACCCTGTATATCAATTCATATCGGAGCCAGACTGTGTTTTAAAGAATTTTTCTTTTTTTCAGTATTTCAGACTCAGTTCATGGGTTTGTTATTTCTGGGAGGTAGTATATGCGGAATTCTATTAGTCTCTTTACTAATATGGTTCGTTTTTGGTTTCGACTTGTTTCATATCTTCTTCAAGCCAAGAGTGGTCAAAGACATGTCATTAAAACATTACATTAAATATATTGGAGGCAGTGCAATCTATATGCTGACCAGCATTTTTCGAATGCTGGGGCGAGTATTAGCCATGCCAGTAAGTATAATTTTGTAGAGCCAAAATCAGGACCATAAATCAAGGAAGGAATTGAAAAAAGCCTTTTTAAGAAGTTCTTTGAATAAAATAAAAAATCAAAAAAAAAATCTTTCGTTACTACTCGTATTAAAAAAAGGACTACTTTTATCATGCTTTTCTGTAACATGCTACTTCTATACAAACATTAAAGTATATTTTTAATAAATCATAATTTGATTTCTAATATCAATGAAGGTATTAATTTTTAGTTATAACGACATATCTAATCACTTCTATATATTACTGCAGACTCAACAAGTATATCAAACGCCTTCAGATCGTTACGGATGGCCACTCATGCAACGTAACCAGCTTCCAGGAGAGTAACAAAACAAATCACTCATAATAATAATAATCAATAAAATAAACTATTGTACCAATGTAAAATTTATTTTTTCTTAGTTATTACATAAAAATTACGTACGTCTATTAAATGTGTTTGCAGGTAATTGGGTCAATTGGAGCCCACTAATATTATTGAATTCCAGCATCTTCAACATTTCCTTAGTTTCGGGATCCACCTCGATGATATCATGTTCCAAAGCGGAGACCTCTGGGACGTAGTTATCACGTCTTTCACGTTCCTCCTCTTGCAATTTAATTGAAATACCACGCACCTAAACAGGCATCATAAATGTAATTCACAGACCATCTCTGATAAACTAAAAACATACCTGTGAGTGACGCAGACGCTTCATCAAATGTGTAACAAATCCAGCGATTTTATTACGCAAGGGTTTTGTGGGAATAATAGCGATTTCTTCACAAATACGCTTGTTGGTATGGAAATCCAAAGTCAAGCGGGTGTAATACTTTTCGATGATGACTTTGGAGGCCTTTTTGACGGTTTTGGTACGAACGCGACCCATGTTTACTAAAAAAGTAGACGGAATAATACAAATCTACGATATGGTCTTGTTGAAAATAGACTTAATAGGACGTGAGAGGTTTTTTTATCAAGTATATACAACTAAAACTCACCTAAATGTAATAAATGTTTCGGAAAGAAACGTGGTTCTCAAAATCTAACCTCGGAAAGAACAAAAGAGGGAGCCTCTTTCTTTGACGTTCAACGTTCAACGTTATAAAGAAAAAATTCCTAAATAAATATAACCAACAACAGTAGTATACTAATATACTATACTAATCTTTGGGACTTTTTGATACTGAAGCGTTTGAATTTTTAAATCAAATAAAATTATATTGTTCTTTGTAAATCACTGAATTTTTATGAGTAGAAAAAAATTTGTGACCTCAATTTTTTAACCTATGAATTTTGAAATAGTACCACCACAAACTTCAAACTATTGGTTCTTCCTTGGAATTTAGAAAGTTCGAAAGTTGGTAATACAACAGGCAGTATGGAGGAATTTGCTTGACAGTTTTTCAGTGACAGTGACAGTTTTGTAAAAAATTGTTGTTTTGTATAGTTGTGTTTTGTATATAAATGACGTCTGGCAAGGATACAATGGGGTAAATATATTATAAATTAATTAATTTATATTTCTGCTTTTATAAAAGGCTGAGATTAATTCAACTTATACATTATTTTTTTAATTACACCTCCCATTAAATTTATAAAATTAGAAGTAATCACTTAATGAATGTATTAGCCTGTGTCTTAATTTATTGAGCAGTTTGCAGTTCTATTTTTAGCTTATATGAACCATAATTAGTGGTTGAATTTCAGAACCACTCCTTTATTCAGGTATTCTTTCATGTAAAACTGTAATTTCATTTTTTTTCATAGTGAGCAACCTATCTTCACATGCAAGGCTCATGTATTCCACATTGATCCGAAAACAAAGCGGTCATGGATGCCGGCTTCAAGTACAGCAGTTAGCGTTTCATTTTTTTACGATTCTTCCAGAAGTTTGTACAGAATTATTAGTGTAGAAGGTCAAAAGGCTGTTATAAATAGTACTGTTACTCCTAACATGACTTTTACAAAAACCTCGCAGAAATTCGGACAATGGTCCGATGTTAGAGCTAATACTGTATATGGACTAGGTTTCTCCTCAGAAGCTGAACTTCAGAAAGTAAGTAATGACATAATTTCCTTTCCTATTTGAATAAATTGTTCATCTGCTATGTATGTTTTAATATAAATTTATTTAATAGTTTATTGACAAATTCAACGAAGTAAAAGAAGCCACCAGATCTGCCATAAGTAAGGTAACTGCCAATGGTGGGACAGCAGTGACTCCAGTTACAAGTGCAAATGCTAGTCCTATAACTACCAGAGCTGCTACTGCTGCTCCTGATCAGTCCGACAATCTACTTGAACCTCCTGGTAAGTAATATACATTTACATATAACATAAATTAAATTTCATAATTTGTAAAGTTGATTTTTAATCATTAAAATTGCTTTGTAAAATTATCTTTCAATGTTTTGTCGCATTTTACGTGTGATATCAAATTAAAACATTCGGAACTTTAAATTTGAATCGTATACTTCAAGGTTTGATTCATTCGATTACATTATTATAAAAAATAAATAACATTAATTGTTTTCCAATAATAAGAAATTAATTTGTGTAAACTTGTTAAGTATTTTTAAACACATTCGTTGGAGAAAATGACGGGTAAATATTGTTATCTAGGACATCAAACTATTTTATAGCATATGTAAACAATATAAATGAAAATAATTTATGATAAGAGATAAAATACACCATAGATAAGATATTTGCCCAAAGTAGTATACATTTTTCAGTTTTCAAGTAAGTAATAGATGATTAATAGGCAGAATATGGCTAACAATGTATTTTTCTGCAATTTATCAACAAATACTTCACAATTTAACTGCCAAATAGGTATTTAATTATTAACCTCTTGAATTTAGCTTGTTTGTTAAGTGTAAATAATAGAAATGCTAAGAATATATTTTTTTCTAGGTTGCGCTGCCATGCCAGTACCTAGTAACGCCAAAGCAGAGGATGAGGTGCCCCATCCTCGCAGCCATTCAATCTCTGGCATGCAAAGCAACGAGAGTCCTAGCCATCAAGTCAAGATGGATAAAACTCAATATATAACTGCTAACACCAACCCCATCGATATGCAGTTGAAATATGAAAACGATAGATTGAAGCTCGCGTTGGCCCAAAGGTAAGTCTCCGTGTCATAATAAAACGGATTTTATTATTTTTTGGATATAAGAGATGTACTACGCTTTTCGTTTAAGGGGTTACACCACTGTAACTTCTTAAAAAAAGCGTGTTTTTGACAATTTCTTTTTTAATAAAAGGAAAGGTAATAGAAAAAACTGTTTAAGTATGTTATTAGGCGTGTATTAAGTGTGCAGAAAATTTTTCTTTAAAAAATATTTCAAAATGGCGGGCGGCACTGAAGCGTTGCTATCGAGGCGTCCCGCAGCACGCACTGCAACTAGTGCAAATTTCAATGTAGAACAAAAAAAAAATTTCTCTTAATCTACACGAGTATAGCTAGAGAAACACGTATGGGATTGTAAAAATATTGTTTTTTGTAAAATTGGCAAGTGTTTGAAGTAAAACGTTAAATTTTTGACAAAAAAAAGGGAAGTTATTTGTTTATAACAGTTGTTTAAATTAACTTGTCGAAAAATCCGTACGTGTTTCTCTCCAAAATGTTGTTTTAAATATGTGGTTAAAATTTCAAAAGAAAACATTGAAAATTGTTGGAGTTATGGTGCGTGCCGTTTTGAAAAAGCGTGTTTCGAGAAAAACGCGTTTAAAGTTTTAAAATGAGTTTTAGACATGAACGTGCACTGATGATACACCAACATACTTTTGTTTGAAAATTTTGCTTGAATTGTACACGCATACTCCCTAACGACATCTATGAGTGTATTAGAGAAGTTATAAATCAGTATTAAATAGTATAAATTAAAAACAAAAAATTCATGTATAAAACCTTTTGCCTCATATTCTAGAAAGTTCAAACTACCTTTTAATAAAAAAAAAACGATTTTTTGAAAATTCTACTGTGGTGTAACCCCTTGAGGACCAATGTTTGATAAATTATATTAGCAATTTTTTATTAAAACTGAATAAAGATTAGTTTTGCAAGAAAAAAAATACATTGTTTATGTAAAAGCAGTGCAAATTGTCCTGTTTTTAACAGAATTTCTGAAAATATTAGATGGATAAAATATAAAATAATTACAATAAAGAAAATATAGAACTGTTATAGTTTTTCCGATATCAATTGAAGAACCAACAGATTGATAGTATGTACCAGGTTTGGTGGCTGACGCAGTAACTCGGCATTGAAATATTTGAAAAACTTATTCCCATATTTATTTGGCCATACCTATATACAGGTCTGGTCGAACTAAACGTGGAGGCGATAGAAATGTATACGCTCAGTTGAAGAATGCGAGTGCGGGCAAAGGAAAACGATTACAGTTGCATTGGGCTACTGGGCAATAAATCACAGCAGACGACAAGTGGTTGATAAATTGCCCAGCAGTGCAGTGCAACAATGCGAAATTTGATTGTGATTCAGGTAATTTTAATTTATTATAGGCACCTTCTATCAATCATTCATGTTACAATTGCGAAAGGGAGAAAAATAAAATATTATCACAACATGGCATTTTGGAGACCTTTTGAAACGGAACAAAAGGAAATTTACCACCAACATAATAAAATTGTTAGAGGACATAAATAATTAAAATATGTTGTTGGCCAAATGAACACATAATAGAAATTTTCTGCACATTATATACAAATTATAATTTTTTACCTGTAGCAGAAAATTTTTTTAGGGACGCCTATGAAACTCATTAAATCTTAATACCATACGTTTTTTTGCATATTCAACTGACTTCGGAAAGACTATACCTAAGTTTTTAAATTTTATATTGCACAAATTTTAAAAAAATGTCTTAAAAAAATTGGTACGATGGAATTTTGAAGAGCATAGAATAACATTCTAGTATTAGATTTTAAGATAAAAAGTTTTTTACACAGTTTTTCAAAAACTAGCGTTTGAAAAGAATATCATAATCATAGGCAGCTTAGTTAACACGTTGACTGCAAGATAATCTCAATGTACTTTGTCCGTAACTGCGGTACCTATCTTCAGGGATATATAACAAAACTTCTTCTGTGTGCGGTACATATCCCTGGGGATATGTAATTTTATTACATTTGACCCTATAAAATTAAAAATAACACAATTATTGCTATAAACTTGCATGTATCTGTAATTATATATCCTAGGATACTAACGTTTTCGTTCGCAAAGAGTTTTGAAAAGAAAATAATAGAAAAATCATTATTTCTAAAAACTACAGATTCTGCAACTTCCACAAGATACAGTAAAAATGTGATTATTGATATTCGCATATTTTTTATAATGAGTACATACCCCCCGAGGTATGTACCGCAGTCAACGTGTTCAGCAAATTTGGAAAATTTTTAGTTTCCACATATTGACATTGTTGATCTATTTAATAAAAAATATTTGAACTTCATTTGTTTTTTACATACCATATCAACGACGGTACCTATAAATAAATACATCCAGTATACAAAGTGTAATTTTAAGTGACTGACAATAGTACATATTCCCCAGAATATTAATCTGAAACATTTTTTTTTAAATCAAGCACGTAGTCGAGTCTTTTAAACTGCTCTTAAACTCTTGTCTATGCCGCTACTGGCAGCTCCCGAACTTGGTTGTGCGCGCTTATCAGTATTACCCATTGTTGCCTTTTTTTAACCAACTGTGAAAGTAACGGAGTGGCAGATAGCGAAACTACAATGAATAATAATTTCGGAAAAACAGATTGCCTTTGTAGTACTTTGCCACGTGTTATTTTAATGTCACCATAGTGTTGTCGAACATTAAAAAATTTTTAATAAAAAGTATATCTTATTCTTTAAAGCAGTGTTCAGTTTGCGTGTCGAAGTGTCTAACATTGTCCTTGTTGTAATATCAGTTTATTTCAAGACCTGCGTGAAGTATCAGTTTTTACTGCAATCGAAATAGAATTTGTGTAAGCATATAACCTTATAAAGTTATTTGTTTCATTGTTTAGTGGGGGTATGGTGTTTGTGTGTCTTCATTGTTAAATTTTTGTTTGATATTTTGAAAAAATGTATGCAATTCAAGAAATATAAGATTTGGCAACAAAGCATGCTCCCAGTGTGATCAGTGTTCACAGAAGACTTTTGAAATGTGTTTCTAAACGTTGGAGATTGCTATCGCATATATACGACCCCCGTTTAAAATTATACCCAGTATAGACAGTAATTATGATAAAATATTATTAAACAAAATATTTTTTATTATTTCAATTTACAGGATACAGTACAGTCTATCAATAAAATGAGAATTTAATATCGTTAATACTAACTACGAACAATATGTTAAAAGTAATTTTACAAGAATCAACTTGATTGGTAGATTTAACATACTAGCAAATAGAATTTATTATAATTTCTGTATAACGCACGTATTTCAAGATTTTCAAACTATTTTAGAAATTATAAGCGTTTTATCCAAACTATTATTACCAAGGCAAATTTTTTATTTTATTGCCCTTTCTGTCTAACCACATTAAACACCACAATTTTGAAAAGAATTTAAGATGTACGACAGAGTTCTTTTATTGATATACTTGAAAAAAATGGACTACACTAAGTCTTTATAAGTGACCTCCATATCCGCCTTCGTAACCGCCATGGCCACCTCCATAACCGCCATGACCACCTCCAATCTTGTGCACCACGGCGTTAAATCCATTATGCTTGTCGGCTTTGTATTCTACTACACGAGTGGAACCGTCGGCCTCCTTGAGGGAATATGAGCCTTTAACTTCGTCACCGTCGCGTTCTTCTTGGTGCTGTTTCTCATCACCGGTGTGAGGATCGTGAACGGCGTAATTGAATTGGTATTTTGGATGAACCTGTTAAGATAAATCATTATTACGTGGCGATGTTAACTTTTCAAAATATTGCATAGGGAGAGTAACATTACATTCTTTACTTACATTTATTTCTTCATATCCTTTGTCGTCCCCACCTCCATAACTTGAAATATCCAAGCCACCTTCGTATCCACCACCAATGTGGCCACCGTACCCACCGCCAATGTGGCCACCGTACCCCTCTTCTAGGCCACCTCCAAGATATCCAGCTTGGCAGAGGGCAAAGAATAGAGTCAAGGCGATGATCACCTAATAAAATAATATAATACGTTTGTTACTAATCAATGTAACTGCTCATTATAAAAAAAATGCTTTGCAAGCCCTCAATAACTATCAGTTCAAAGTCTTAGTCGACTAGAAATTAAAAGGAATCTCTTTTTAACACATTGGTGATATCTTAAATCATCCAAATATATAAAAATTTACAGGGTGTTGTATTTAAAAACAAATTTACAACATTCAACAATTGAATGTGTCTGGAATTGCTATGAAATCGCAAGAAAATTTCCTAAAACTATAGACCATATCATTTTTTTATATCAAATACAAAAGTAAATGAAATAAGAATGGTCCTTGAATACCCTTTACAATATAAAAATAAATATTCATATTATTAAAAACAGACAGAACGAAATTTACTATAAATCTGCTTCAAATCCACTAAAGTGTGTGAACTATCCAATGTTTTTTTTTTACTGTAACATTTAAATAAATGAATACCTACTTTTTATAAAATAATTTTAGGGATATTATAATTTAATTTATTTTCACTTTTTATATTTTGTAATATAGTAAACATTCTTAATTTTAAAATGATGTTTAGTATTTCCAATTTTTTCGATTAATTTGTTTATCACCCAGGGTACAACTTATTTATTTTTTTTTTGTACTGATGTACGGAAATCGAATTTAAATTAGAATAAAAATAAATTTTCAATAAAAAAATATAAACAAATCCATTTAGGACATTTATGTTAAACTTCACTGTCCACACGCCAACTTTTCACTTAAAGAAAATCACTCACTTTGCTGCAGGCGAACATTTTACTTGGTGTGGAGGTTTGGGAGCGCAAAGAAACGAAAATTCGAAACTGATACGTTAGAAAAAAGCCGCCCGGTTTTTATACCGAGCACCACCATTTTCAGCTGGGCGCCTCCCCCGGGGTCTTCTTTCCTGGACTTTCTCCGA